AGACACCACTTTGTGGGAGTTTTTGGGTTGCAAACAATAGAAGAAAACTTAAACAGAAAGAGCAGGTATTGGAGGTAGGAGCCCAGGTTTAGAAATTGGACAGAAACTTATACTGCACTTGCTTAGACAGAACTAATACTTTAGCCAGCTATGCTAAGCACTACCTCTGGAATGGAGGTTTGTCCATCCCCCAACTTTGAGCATCTGCACTCGGCAGGAAAGGCTGTTTTGCTCAGCTTGGGTGCTGCGGTTGTTCCTTGGGGGTGAGAGCAGATCTCCAAAGCCCCTGGTAGCACTATTCAGACATCCAGAGAAGCCCAGCCCTACGCACAGCCAAGTTCGTGCCATTTCCTTCTTAAATCCATGCCTCTGTGTTTGCTCTTGGCCTCTCTTGTGATAGTGTCTACCTCAGTACAGTTGCTTTCTGTAGTCGAAGAAATAGCATATGGAATTTCTTAATGTACTGTCCAGTGCTTAACTGTAGGTTACTCTTAATTGTAGTTGAGTTTGATTAGGCTAGGAGATCTCTCTGTCTTCTGTCTCCCCTTCACTGATTCTGCCTGCCTGTCAACTTCCGGTGAACTTTTAAAAGGGCAAATCAATGCCATTTCTCTGCTCAAAAACACAGAGCAGCTCCTCACAGCCTGCACAGTAACCTGAATTATTAGCTTGATGTAAGACAGCATATTCACTCTTTACCCAGCTGTTACAGTAGATATGGAAAGTCCCCAGTCGGCTTATTCATGCAGAGGTGGCACTCTGGGAAGGTAAGTGGATCAAGGGGGCACTGTCCTTCACCTTCCTGATGAGCTCAGCAGCTGTGTGTGCTCTTAGGAAGTTGGCCTACTTAGAGGTGGTCACTGAGGGAGTGACCTGAAAGGTGCATCTCTGCCCTGGGCCTTCCTCTTCCTCTGCTTACTGGAAATCTGGGATGTGAACACCTGGCCTCGCTGGCAAGCCTTTCCACCATGCTGCTTCTGCTTGGGACTAAACCTTCTGTGACTGTTAGCCAAAGAAACCTCTCTTCCTGTAAGTTGGAAGTGTTGAGCATTTTGTTTCGGCAACAAGAAAGTGACTAAAACAAGTAGCTTGGCAGATGTTTAACCAGTGTTGTTAGGGAAGAGATGTAGGAAATTTGTACATGGATGAACACACACTATTTTAAATGTCAATCATATAAAAGATGTAACACACTCACTGAAAGTAGTAAATTCTGTATTGTAAGTTCTGTCTAGACAGTTATATCATGATGAATGCTTTTGTTAATTTTTACCAAACTCCTTTAGGTGTTGCCAATCTCTCAGAAAACACTAACACTTTAGTTCATCAGAAATGCATCCTCTTTGTTGAATCAGAAGCTCACAAATACCAGGCAGTATTATTGCACAGTTAATGTGACAGCTGTGGATTATTTGCATCATTGTGCTTCCTCCATTGCTTTTCTTAACTGTACATGTGGGGAAAAATAAACTAAACCCATTCCTAAGGTGTAAATATTCCCACTGTGGTCAAGGGCAAGACACCAAAATCAGTGGTATAGTGTCTCCATCTTCTACATTCATCGTGACGATGAATAATAGAGAAAACAGAAATTTCCATTAAAATAATAAGCATTACATATGTATTACCTTTAATATATAGTTAATTTTAAATTGCTTAATTTTAAAAAATGGTTATGTTTTACAATCTCCTTCTTCCTCTTCTTCTCCTCTTTCTTCTTCTTCTTCTTCTTCTTTTAGAGACAAGATATTGCTACACTCTCCAGGCTGTGCTTGAACTCATGGGGATCTGATCCTCCTGCCTCAGCCTCCTGAGTGCTGGGATGATAGGCATGTGCCACTACACCCAGCTCAGTCATCCTTTCAAAGAATTCCTGGAAATGTATTGGCTTTTGTAGGTCAGGACCACCCAGCCCCAGCTCTCCATTGCATGTATTCCTCAGGCCAGCAGGCTTATGAACCAGCATTTAGGTAATGAGAGAACAAAGCCAAGGTTCTACCTGATCAAAACTGCCTTCGTTGGTTTCTTGTCCTACCCTTTCTCACTACGTACCTTTCATTCAAAGAGGCAAAACGGGAAAGGCTCTGGGGGACTCAGTTATTACTCACTGCCCTTTGTCCTGCAATAAAAGCTAGAAATTCTTTCTGGAATCCACTCTTCCTTCCCTTTAGTATGCACAGTTCCCCTGGGGTCACTCTGCCACTTTTGTCCTGAGTGGACTGTGACAGAGTGGGATGGTGCTGAGAGTGAACCATGTCAGCTTCGGGACATTTTTAGAAACTGAAAGCAAAAAGATACTTCTTCTTCTTCTTCTTGTTCTTCTTGTTCTTGTTCTTGTTCTTCTTCTTGTTCTTCTTCTTCTTCTTGTTCTTGTTCTTCTTGTTCTTCTTCTTCTTCTTCTTGTTCTTCTTCTTCTTCTTGTTCTTGTTCTTCTTGTTCTTGTTCTTGTTCTTCTTCTTCTTCTTCTTCTTCTTCTTCTTCTTCTTCTTCTTCTTCTTCTTCTTCTTCTTTTTCTTCTTCTCCTTCTCCTTCTCCTTCTCCCCCTCCCCCTCCTTCTCCTCCTCCTCCCCCTCCCCCTTCTCCTCCTCTTCTTCTTCTTTCTCCTTTTGTAGTGCCGTGGGGAGTATGAGTTAGCAGTTTGCACTCCTGGAGCCGCTACTGAGGGAACCTAAGAGAGTCTGAAACCAATGCAGAGAAAATGGAGCCCAACTTTGGAGAGAGGTTCTGGATGATACCATCTGACTGCCAGATTCAGCATTCTTTTACCTCTGTGAGTGTTCCCGTTCTCATTCTGTAAAATGGGAACAAGTGCTGCTCAGCTTCACAAGCCCATCATTCTTATTGCTGAGGTTCTGCACACAGGAATGGAGGAAGGAACTCAGCTGCTGTGGAGACAAGCTCAGGTCTTTGCTCAGACCACAGGGAGACAGAGGATCTTTCAAGGAGAAGCCTGTAGTCACCTGTCCTCCCTGCTCTGTCCCTCTCCTCCTGTGCACTCTGCAAAATCCCTGGTCATATGAAATCTGACACCTGAGCAAAGAAAGTGTTGAAAAATACCTGCCCAACAAATGGATGAAAATCTGGATACCTTTTTATTAGGTATGTGTTGCCATGTCATCAATTACCCCAGACTTTGTGGCTCAGCCATAAGCACTTGATAATTTTCTCGGTTCTTATGGGCCAGGAATTTGGCAGCGAGTTGGCCGAGCGATCACTGATTGGGGCCCACATGAGGTAGGAGGGAGTCAGCGAGGGTGTCTCTGGTGCTTTCCCAGTGGGAGGTGTGGGTTCCAAGATGGTGCCCACACATGGCTGGGGCACGGGCAGTGCCTGCTGAGGGGAGGCCTCAGTTCCTCTCTGCAGATTTCTTTAGTAACTGGCAAGAATAAGGCAGAAGTTGCAATGTTTCTTCTAACCTTGCTCCTAAACATGCTGGTTGGGTACAGAGGAGACTACTGTACCTTCGGTCTCACACAGCGCCACCTTGGTTCACTCTGGGAGAGGCCATTCAAAGGGTCAGTCGCAGAGGAAAAGGATCCTGACAGCGCCATCGTGAAGCCTGACTACCACAGCCTGCACGAAATCAAAACCTCCTTTTTCTCCTTACCTTTGAATCACTGTGGGCCAACGTGAGATCTTTCAAGTTGCTTCTGAGTTGCTTTTGTAAATGAAAGTCCCATACTGATGAATCTTAGAAACCTTGGTACTGTAACATAAAAAGTTTAATCTCTTGAGCTGCAAACCTGGATGAGCGCTTTTGGGAAGAGGCCTGGCCTCTGAGAGTGCAGAGCTACCCTTCCTTCGCTGCCCCTAGATACACACAGTGAAGTCGTTAACATTCTTTCTGTGTTGAAATGGATCAGGCTGAGCAATCCCACAGCCTTTCCTGATCTAATCTGTGTGATGGTTTAGTGCTGATCCACATGGGGAGGGGAAGTGCGGCTTAGGAGCCAAGTTTGCCTTTGGAGGGTAGCAGAACAACCTTATCTTCTTCTGCCTGGCACAAACTCCTTTGCTCCCAGGTCTGGAAACCCTGGGAGGCCATGCATGGCCTTCCCAAGCTGCATGGGGCTCAGGTCCATCTTCTATCGCTTCCCTGGTCTTCTTTTGCTCAGGGGCTGTATATCGCCTCACTTCCTCTGCACACACCAGGGATAACACATGATTTAGACCAATTCACAGCACACAGGAACAAGGCCAAAGCACAGGTTCTGCTGAAATCTCCACATAAAACTGCTCCTCAAACCCGGGCCATCCTCTATCTCTACTGTCCTCTGGGGTCAGTTACAAACTTCAGGAAAGACACACTAAGGGCATCAACATTTGGCAAGGTTGAGGAATTTATTTAATGTCCCTAATGCATATTTGCTTCTAAGAACTAACCTGGGGCTTTCCTGCAGACTCTTGTGATGGTCATTTTTAGCCGGTGGGTGTTTCTGAGGGGCCTCCTGTGTGTCATCAGGCATGACGCCCCGGTGACAGCGAGAGGTCCTGCTTTTGTGGGAAGTGTCCCAAGTCAGCGTGTGCTAAGTGTGTAACAAGTGACCACGTCAGGGACTGATGTCTGCGAGGCCTCTCAAAGGAGATGAGCAATAAGGTGGAGTTGAGCTCTCAAGGAGAAGAGTGTTTCAGCAAAATGGAAGCACATAGAGGGAAGGATCTCTCGGCCTTCAGCTTGTGGAGCAGAGAAGCACAGGGCAGGGCTGGGCAGAGGGATCAGGTCAAAGACCAGAAACCTGGTGGCCCAGGAAGGGAGGAGTCAGGGGGAGCTGCGCTGGGCTGCAGAGGTACAGTCTTCAGTGCCAGGGACGGTGAACTCATGCTGAAGCCGGGGATTCTGTGGGGTTCTTATCAGTGCAACTTCCTCCCAGATGATATAACCATAGGGTCCTGTTGTCTCACATCCATAGGAGAAGTGGGGTTACTTCTGTCATTGCGGGGAGGGGTTTCTGGCACCCCGTGCCTGAGTCTCCCTAATCTCACCCTCCCACCCCACACAGAAGCTGCTGAGTGGACCGGACACACAAGCAGAGTTGGAGACCAAAGGCTACCAGCCCCAGGGGCTGTGGAAGACAGAGTGAGAGGTAGGGGGAGAGGGGACAAAATGAGAGGGAGAAGGAGGAGGGGAGAGAGGGAGGAAGGGGGAGAAAGGGGAGAGGGAGGGGGAGAGAGAGAGAAGGGGAGGAGGGGGAGAGGCAGGGCGGAAGACAGGGAGAGGGGGGAAGAGAGCGAGGGAAGAAGGGAGACAGAGAAAGTTAATTGGCATCAGCTTGGGGATGGATTTGAGGGAGACTGGTGAGGAGAAGACCCTGCTAATCCAAGCCAGATTCCTGCATGTTCAAGATCTTATTGAACTCCAGGCTGTACCTGGAATCTCCTCACCTCTGCTCCTCAGTGTGGCCACCAGACCTACCTAGTCATGGCCAGTGACAGGGACTCTGCTCCTGCCAGCACCCCTACATGTGGAGTTTCAGACAGGTACAGCCTGGGGTCCCTGTATGTACTCTTCCCGGGGTGCTCGGGCTGGGCACAAACCCTCTGTCAGTGGTGGCCTTTCATGTTCCTTGCGTGGCCGGCCCAGGGGACCCCTCAGGCTTTCTCTGTGGTAGCCTCCTGGTCAGGACAGTGAGGATAGCTGGGGCTGTCGTACATGGGCAGCAGCAGGAGCAGGGCCAGGTGCTAGGAGACCCAAAAGCATTATCCCAGGCCGCTGGCAGGCTCTGAGAATGGCAGTGGGAGGCTCTGCGGGAATGTCAGAAGCAGGATCCTCTGGACACAGTGGGGCGGGTGAGGGAAGGACTGGAGCTTGGTGCCCTGCAAACCTGTGGTGCAAGAGGGTCCATCTGGGCAGCACGGGACAGATGGGCTGCCGGTCACTGTTAGTACCCAAGGACCTTTCTCCAATGCGCCTCAGAGCAGGCTCTGGAGCGAGTTTCTCCTCAGATCGCAGTTGGAGCTTCTGGCACAAGGAGTGTGGATTCCAGAAGAAGCCTGGGACACTGGGCCTCCAGGGTTGCCTGTCTTTGAAGCCAAAGCCTGTGGGCATGTGTTGTTTAGGCAGAGGCCTGAACCCAAGGCCCAAGAAGGTGATTGCCATCCCAAGCATGAGCACAGCGTGGTCTTTCAGCCCAGGCCGGCCTGTCCCCTGGCTTGGGTCCTTTAGCTGGCTCTGGACACTGTTACAGTGGTACGGAAGTGAGCACTGGCCCTGGCAGTGTGGGCTGATCCGGTTATTTAAAGTCTGAGTCTGGACCTTCTTTTCTTCACTTGTGGGTTAGAACAGCCCTGCTCTCCCAGGCACATTGTGCTCCCGAGAGCAGCCAGGAGCTGAGGGGCATGAGAGCCTGGGCGGGCAGCCTCGGGAGCAGGAGGCTGGGCTGTTCCTGAATGGACTGTGTCCTCGCCCTCCCACCTGTGCCTGTGACTTCTCCCCCCAGCGACACTACCCGCAGCCTCTGCACTCTGCTCCTTCCTCTGTCATCTCCTTATCACTTCCTCAGTGAATGTGACCCTGGGCCTGGGACTGAGCTGAATGACCTTTCTGAGTGTTTCCAAGAAAATGCCCTTGATCTTTCAGCATCACATTGGGGTTTCTTATTGTTCCCATGGCTGGGGTTGAACTCGGGCTCTTGTGCAAGCTCAGTACACATTGTGCCCCTGAGCCCCCATCCCTGCCTCCTCCAGAGCTTCTTGCAGTCTATTGGAGTCATCTTGTAACCCTCTCTGAGACAAGGCTGCATGAGTTTCTGGAGGATGGAACTGCGCCATGGTCCCCGAGGTCACCCAGCCCTGGGACAGTGTGCGTATGCATTTCCTAATGAGCCGGTGAGCCAATGGCTGAATGCAGTGTAACTGGACGTGGCCGTCATAGTGGTGTCCAGCAGACATGCAGAACTCGATCCCTCCTTCCAGGGTCTGCTTAGAGGCTGGAACTAGAGCTGGAGCAGAACATCCCTTGCTGCCCCCACTCACATGGAGTAGGGGGGCAGCTTAGTGAGCTGCGGGCTTCCGGATGTGTTGGGAGGTGCATCTCAGACACAAAATGCAGCCTCACGCTAGTAGTAACGGAGGGGCACCGGTCTCCCCATGGACAGAGGGGTTGGACTCCCCGAGTGTGAATGAGGCATTGGCGTGACAGCCGATATCACAAGAATATTCCTTGTGAATTAAGTCTGCTAATAATTTGGGGAAATATCAGTAAGCATCTACACTGCCTCTCTTGTGCAACCCTCCCTGGGCTCAGCCCTCATGGAAAACCTTTCACTTTCCTGCTCCTCTTCCTGAAATAAATTCCAGGGAAAATGATGGCATTGGCCCTGATCTCTTTTACAAAGAATGCCAAGGTTCCACCATCCTCCCATTGCTTTTGATTATGGAAACCTACATCAGTTTCGCTCTTCCTGGGATGTTAATAAATCTCTCACTCTTGCCTTCCCCTGTGGAGCTGGAGTGAGCGGGTTCTATGCTGGGATCTAGGGGACTTTTGCTCTAAGCCAAACTATAATTAGCTCTCTGACCTTCGCCAAGTTGCTTAATCTCCGGAGCTGGTTCTTTACTCTCCTGCAAGGTCTTTGATTCTAGGTGGGTTTAATCAGGCTGGATGGGAGGGTGTGGAGTCCTCTTTGATGTCTTATTTTCTCATAACTACCGCTCTCCATGAAGACATCTTATAAATCTGTTTTTGTCCTTAGCACACACGTGGGCCTGCGAGAACAGCAACGTCTGGGGCTGGTGGGCTCGGAAAAGTCACCGTCTCCTGGCTCTCAGGAGAGGCCAAATCCAGCCCCAAAGTTTAGCTACCAGACTGTGTGGTTCAATAGGGAAAAATATTTTAAAAGGGGGAAGGGGCAGAAGAGAGAAGGAAAGGTCACAGCAGGGAGAGAAACCAGTGACATTGGTGGGTTAGGGATTCGCAGTCTTGGTGCCCTAGGAGGTGTGGATCCTTCTCTTCCCCATTTGGGCCACCCCCTCAGGGCTGCTGGGTGACAGGCATAGTTTGAATTCAGCCTGTAAACTCAGTGTTCTTTCTGACTGGCAGAAGCAGCTGTATCCTAAACCCTAGAAGCTCTTCTCCACACTCTGGGATTCTGTTTCCAAATCCTTTCAAGATGGCAGTGAGCCTTGGTTGGTTCAAGTTTGAAAAGAGGACATCTTTCTTGTTTTTCCTTTTTAAGAGGTAAGTCTGTGGTTCCAGCATGGACAGAAAGGTTCTGTGTTTCTGTGTCACAGTCAGGTGCTCACCCTCCTGGCTCGTTTCTAATCAGACCTCCCGCTTCTGCTATACCAACCTCATGCCAGTTTGTGCTGCATTCAGTCAGGTTAGACAGGTAGATCTAATGAACTCTACCTCCATTTCCAGATCAGGGCTAAATTAGGCATTAAAATATGGTCACGTATGTCAGAGCCCCTGCATTTAGTCATTTTCTTGTTTTCAAATGCTAGCCTCCAGTCCTGGCTCTTATCTATATTTAAAACTGACATTGTTAAATGCATAAGCACATCTGAATTATTTATATTTAGGTTTATACAGTCTCCAGCTGCAACCATATATTTCAATATCTTTAAATTCCACGTTGCCATCTGGACCAGATTGCTGGTAAATCAAATCAGATAAACGTTACCTTTCCACTACCTCTGATTTATATCAACCATTCATTTCCAAAAGCACAGCCCTGTTAAATCCAATCTACTTTCAAAAAGCTTATGAAATTAGCTCAGTTTTGTGGATTTCTTTCTTGGAGGATCCAGCTTTGAAAGGGGCCATTTGGATGGATAGGAAACCAGTGTGGAACCAGCAGAGTTAGGAGCCGTGGATTTCATTGATTATTGTGCAAATCTTCTGAGCCTGACTTCATCCAATTACTCAAGACTTTCCCCTAATCAAGTTATTGGGAGCTAGTTTATAGACCACAGAAATTGAATATGCAGCTTTGAAAGTGTTAGGATGTTCCCTGTAATTTAATCTGACTTCTCTCTGAGCTGGAGAAACATTTTAGCCAGGAGATAGAAAGGAAGATGGGACTTTTATAAATTATATTTTTGTGCAGTCTGTTTTATATACATACTTTTTAAAACCTGGATAACCAAGGTGGGGTAATAAACCAAATAAATCAGTCACTTTTCAACAGAAAAGTCCAGATCTAAGATCCATATTGATTTGTGAAGACGGTAACAGCCTATAATTTTGTCAATAAACAGGGCCAATATCTCAAGAAAAGCAGTAGAATATTTCAAATAGGAAGAAAGACAGAAGGAGGGGAAGGCAGGATCTGGAGACCCAACCTCTGACCTTCCAGGGAGAGCTGAGAGCGGGAATGGCCCGCATACATATGTGTTGCTGTGTCCATTCGTCCACGCACAACACCGTGCTCTACCCACAGGATTCCAAGCCTGTCCTCACTTACAGGTTTAACGACTGGACCCTGAAATATTCTCCAAATAGCCCTTCAAATGGATGTGTCCTTCATCACCCTTGAGCTGGGATGAAGTCATGAATGGTCACATTTTGATACTTCCTCTATGCTCTAAGTGGGAAAAGGGAGGGAGGAACCTGGGGAAAGTGGTTTGCATATGATATTCTAAGTCTGTATAACCGAATACATATCCTAAATGCAGAGATGGAAAACCTGCTCTTTCTCATTATGACTAATGCTAATTTTTCTTTTGCACAAAAAAGAAATATGTCTCTCTTTAATGGTAAATTACCATTTATTGTAAATGTGCCACATGAAGGAAGCCATAAGTCATTATTATTGACCTATTATGATTCATTCTGCTTTACCCTGAATTAAATAAAAATGTGCACTTTAGGATAAGACACTTTTAGTTCAAATGTTCTTCTACTGGACTCGTGCCCACTGGGTTTTCCAACCACGTAGCTCCGGCTAATGCTTGACTTGAGGAGTAGCTGTCTCATCACGATGGCCGCCTGTCTTTCATTCTGTCCCGGCCCCGGATGTGGTCTGCGATCTCTGACTTATGACATCCTTTTCTGTAAATGAAACAAAAACTTTCATCTAAACTTCAGGGAAATAAATATGTTTGGGTTTGTACGTGAAAAACCAAGGAGGAAAAGCCAAGAGAGAAGCTCATTCACTGAATGAGATATGAATATATGCAGAGAAATTGGGGCAAAGTTATTTATGAGGAAAGACAAATTTAAAACTAGACTTGTCAGGTGAAAGGAAAAACCAAAGCATGCCACTAGTTCCTTTAAAATAAAACAAACCTTACTCCAGGAGAGAGACACGCACGCATGGTGGAGTGAAAGGTAAAGAGAGGGACGGTTTCTTTGCTAGCTAAAGCAAAGGTGGTTAAAATATCTAGAATATGTATTATATAACAGTCTCTGGGTGAAGGTGATTGCATGGTCTTTCTTCTGTTTTCTATCTGCCTTTTGTGACACACTGGCAATTAGTATGCATTCCTTATTTAATGAAATGTGTGTGTTATTATGTGCTTTAAAGGTAGTTTTACTTTCCTTAGAGGGGCCAGTTCTGGGACTCCTAACCAACCTTAATTTCCTATAAATGTCTGAGGTTCAGGGTCTACTCAGAGAAGGAAGCTGTGGACTCAGCGCCAGAGTTGTTAATCGAGACAGCGTGGCTCCAACTGCACAGGCAGTCACGTGGGTGCTGCTGCCTGGATCTGGCTCTTTGTTCCTAGGCCAGAAGGCAGAGTGGAAAATATCTGAGTGGGAACGAAGGAAGCACACAGGCAAGGAGCAGCGTAGCACGGAGAGACCTGTGGGCTCCAACCGACCGCAAGATCAGCGTTGTTTTGATGGTCATGAGGAGAGAGAGAGAGAGAGAGAGAGAGAGAGAGAGAGAGAGAGAGAGAGAGAGAGAGAGAAAGAGAGAGAGAGAGAGAGAGAGACTGTCAGGAAGCACAAAGCGTCATTCATAAATGAGGGGGATGAGATTGCAAACTACTTCTGGAGAAGAGAGACATTGGACTGCCACAGCAGAAAGACCTAATATGAAGCGTCACCAAGGAGCACAAAATGTTTCCCAAAGAGCGAAACAGAGGATTCAAAAAAGGACAGACACGGACATTTAAGGATAAAAGTATATGTGTGCCAATTAGCCATAAATATTGTTGGAATAAAAATAGCCCTCAGGATGAAAAAGGAAGGTTACTTAGTAATTAAGGAAACCAAGGGCTTATTGGACATGTAAAATATCAGGAAGGAAGCTAATGAAAGCCTAATTGCAGGTAAAAATTATAAGAGTCAAAAATGACTGAGGAGCTCTGGAGTCACAAAGCCGCACAGCTGACTTCCTGCTTGTGGCTTAATTGCTATAGGTGAAAAGGAAGAGGGAGAGAGGAGCACAGCAGAAGGCAGAGCTCTTGCCACACACGAGAGGGTGGGTCACACGGGACGGCAGCCTGGGACAGGCTTTAGACACGACTCACTTGAAGACATTCGCTCTCAAGATAGTCAGTTTTTAAAAACAAAAACTTGGGTGATGTGGACACTTCCCTTTTGAATTTCCCCCCACACTCTCAGGTTAATCTGTCTGAGATCATGGGGGTTCAGCAGGTACTGAACCAGCATGTTCACCCCATTTGCCAGCATGCTCAGAGTAACCACTGCTTAATGTTAGGATTCATCATGAATGGGCTATTTCTTAGATTCCCTATGCAAAGCCTAATTTTGGAATTAAAGAAATCTAAGTCCTGTCTAAGACAATTGCACTATGCACTCTTCAGGGAGTTTTTATCCTGTATTTCAGGGGCACAGTCACAGAATGGCTTTGTCACTGAATGGGGCCCCAGGGCAGTTTTGCTGAATGCCAAGATGTACTATTTCAATCATTTAAAAAGGTGAGCCACTGGTGTGTCCTGTGTCCTAACTTGTGGCCGGGAATTTAGAAGTGGACAGGTTGTCAGTCTCTCTGTAACATTCTCCCCATTCTGGAAGTTCTACAAAATAAATAATATAAGCCAGCAATACTGAGCATCATTAAATGAGTCTAATCCTGCTTGATGGATTTTAATAAATATTTATATTAAGGGAAACATTGCAGCCTCCCTCAAGGGGTTGCTCTGGAGGCTAACAAGACAAGACAATTATTCTCAGCAACAGCCAAATAATTGGTATTTGATAGAGTTGTCGGATTTGCTGATAATTAAAATTATAGATGGGTCTTGTTTGGCCCGAGTGATTAAGCTCATGCTCAGGCGACTCTGGCCTTTACGCACTAGGGCATGTAATTAGATCCCTCTTTGACCTTTGCATGCCGTGGTGACCATAGCTAGGCTGTGACATCCGCGGCCCACATACAGACTGAGGACCAGATGGCGTTTTCAGACAGAATCAACACAGGCTCTGATTACCATTTCTCGGCCCGTCACAGACAACCACAGAGAAATGACTTGGGAATGTTGAGTCTTGGATGTGTTATGCTACCGTATCCCAGAGCTTGATTGCATTCTCTGAAAAAGCTGCTGATGGGCACAAGAGTCAAAATAAATGTTCTCTTATTTCCCTTTTCCTGTGCCCTGTGTGGTAAACTCTTGCGTGAAGGTGTGTGTAGTACGTGGCTGTCTGAACTCCTCTGGGAACTGTTAGGTGGGACCGTACGCAGTTATCCATATTTGACTGGCATTTCTATCCTTACCACCTGTGTTGGATCCCTGTATATGTCTAAATTTAGGGTCACAGCATTGGAGAACTTCATTCCTGGCAAGGAAAATACATCTATTCTGATGCTTTTCTTTCATAGGTGAAGAAATCAAAGCAAACAGAGGCTAGAGGTGAAGCGGCATGCCAAGAAGACCTAGCTGATGAGTGGGGTCAGGACTGGAATGGAGGCATCCTGGCGTCTCCTAGCTAGCCTTCCTCCTTGAGATGACCTGCAGCTGCTCAGAAACTTCTCCATTAGTGGCTCATGAGCTGAATAGTTTTCTTCTGCTCTATATTCCCCCTCAGTATTATTTTACTGTAAGATTTTCAAAGTACCTGCATCTGAGGCATCATTAAAAATAACATTGAATGTTAAAAGGAAAAGTTATTATAATAAAAGGCCCATGGACATTAATCCTTCTCAAACTCCTCCCCCTCACTTAGAACACACCCTTCGACCACTCTCCAAAGCTGTTCTGGAAAGCTCTTTCCTGAGTGTCTCTAGTTGACTGTCGGGGCTAACTCAGCATCCTGAGCTGACTGAAAGGGTTGACCGCTCTTAGCCGTTTTAACTTTGGGGAGGAGGCAGAAGTCACAGGGCTCCGGATGCCATGAATAAGACAGATGATGATCCACCGCAGCATGTTTACACCTCTGCCTTTCTGCTGGATGGTGCCAGGCAGCAGCCTTCACTGTACTGTTTAATTACACCTACAGACACTCACGAAAGAGGATTTACAGAACTGCCCCGGAAAGTGGTGGGAAGGATGGGACGCAGGTACTAGTGAAGAGGAGTACTTCAAGGGGGGTTATGGCAAGGTGTCTTTGACGGAAATAAATTTTTAAAATTTACCATTCTTTGTATCTTTTTCATCACACTTCATATTCTGTCATCACAGATTCCATGTTCTCTTTAACGTGGAAATGTGCAGATGATCTGCTGGAAGAATTCCGAATTATCATAAGTTTCAGAGTTTTCACAGCAGAGAGCCTTTGAGTGTGAAGTCACCGTTAGGTGGGGAAGGAAGACAATCTGCCTTTCTTCTCACCAGGTTGGTTTCACTTTTACGTCCTTCAGGTAGGTATAAGCTGGTATTACACATAATAATGAATTCCAAGAAAATCTTTAGTAATCATTAAAAATCCATCGAGCCCCATAAGCTTCTGGGATGTCTTACGTGGAAATGTTTAATCTCAATCCAGACTGTGGCTCACACAGCAGCTCAGTGTACCTGCAAGGATTCTGCTCTCCAGTCCCGAGGCAGGCAGGCAGAGCCGCAGGTCCCTCTCACCTTCTGATTTGCGGCCACTGTGGCAGGCACATGTCCATCTCACCACGTGCCATTTGTAGGACTCCTCTCACCGATGGTGTCTGGCATCTATTTTAAACAACTGTATATTCAAATGGAAAGAATGGGTCAGCTGTGACTTGTGTCAAGAAACACCGAAAGAAACTGGGGAATGAGAAAGACAGGGCTGCAGATGGAAAATGACCTTGGTGGGTCATCCTGAAAGAGAAGCAGCTTCCTCCATGTGACACTTGACAAGGGTCCCACTATGCCCTGTGCCATCTCTGTGTAAGTGACAACACTGCTGATTAACGCGATTTGTTTGCTTGACATTATAACAGCTGGATGATGATGCAATTACAGTAAATCAGTATTTGAGGCATCAATTAAAATCTTGCTGGAGACAACGCTCCTGTCATAGAAATGGTGTAACATTAAATTATATTTTAAGGCCAGAGACACAGCTCAGTGCACGGCTCCTGCCTGGCAAGTGCAAGGTCTTAAGTTCAATTCCCGATACCAAAAGAAAATTATATTTTAAATATTGTGGTCATGGAGTCAAATAACACAAAATCTTAAATAACAACTGAGATTATTTTGAAGCAACCTAATCTAAGTGCCAGAAATGAAGTTATTTGAATGAGTACCGTATTTCCTGCTTTTTCTGAACAAACAATACCAAGTATCAGCTACTACACACTCAGTACCAAGGACAGGAAGCAGGTGACTGAACCACAAACAGCATGACGGCGAGCGGGGCCTACTTGTGAGGCCCCTACTCCGCTGTGCTTGGTTCACACACCTCTCTTCCCTGGCTGCTTTCCTCCTTCGCTCCTGCTGCTGCAGGTGGGGAAACAGGCGAGACTGGGAGTTCTCGAGAACTCCAGGAGAGTTCGATTCCACTTCCACAGTCGTCCTGAAGTGCACGGCTTTGTCTGAGACAGGAGGTTTAGAAACATCCTTGTCCCATGCGGAGAGAGCCTGCAGCCAGCATGTGGCTCTGGGATGCTTGGCACAGTGTGGCTTGCATCGAAATATCATGCACATATGAATGCACACGGGACCTGAAGAGCTGGTGTGGAAAAACTCCCAAGCATAGCACTAACTTTTTTATGTTAATTAAACATTCATAGTATTTTGCATGTAATGGGTGAAAAAAGTGCTACTAAAATTAGTTCACCTTTGTTTTGCTGTCTTCACTATGGCTACTAAAAACTCTAATTACCAGGTACATTTTGGTGTGTGTGTGTGTATATATGTTTGCATTTTGAGTCAGGTTCACTGTTTTCATCTTTAATCCACACATTATGGTGCACGGTTCCATCTGACGTTTCCTCCATGTGCAGTGTGTGATGATGGGGCGGGGTAGTTGGGACAGCCATTTATCATTTCTTCGTGTTGGGGGCATCCTTAGGAAATGTATAATTCACTGTCCTCAGCCTCTGTCACCCTGTTGCTCTTTGGAGCTCTCCACCTGACCACATCCCTGCATCTGTTAACATGTTATCTGCGTCCCTCTTCCCGCTGGTGCCCAAGCCTCAGTCACTGCTGATTTCTATGTGACCAACTCCTTCAGCTTCACTGCATGCTTTGGAAGGTCTGACAGGCTATAATTTGGGGTTTACCATTATCACCTTCCGGGGTATGATTAATTAGCTAGGGTGGCTCCCAGAATAGAGAGAGCCCTGCATTTCCACTGGTTGTAAAGGATTTAGCTAAGAACAACGATGAACAGCCACATAGAGAGGTGCACGGGCAAGGTCAGGAAGGGCTCAGGCTGCAGGGGCTTCCACACTCCTGGGGCCAGCATGCAGCCCAGCACCTCCAAACCCCACACAGCCTAGGGATTTCCGGGGAGATGGGAAGGGTGATTAACCTGATCTCCTGAGGACTAAGGTGGGGGCCAAAATTCCACCTTTTCAGTCCAGGCTTGGTCTTCTCACTTGGGAAATGTAAGAGTAGCCTCATTAAAAGATGCTCCAATTGCTGGGGAAATTTCAAGGGATCGAATCTGGGTTCAGTGACCAAATATTTGGAGAAAGCATTCACCTAGCACCCCTATTGCTCAGAAACTATGAGGCTTCTAATGCCCATCGTGCTGGGAATCAGGCTGCAGAGACCAAACAGATCATTTTAAATATGTCACAACTTTGCATGCTTGTACGTGAAGGTGTGTCAGTTTTTGCACTTGTCTAACTCCATGAGACCCAAATGATAGTGTGTCTTAAGATGATCATTGTGAGTTAAGAGAATGAAGTATTTTCCTGGTATAGACAGTGCTTTAAAAGCAGCTGGGTGGTTCTTTTCAAGCAGATTGACTTTGAGTTTGAAGCCACAGTTACCAAGGAAAGGAAATTATTTGATGAGTTTGCTTTCCCATAAGATGATTGAAAATCTTTCAAGAATAAAATTATAACAGTAAGGTATATCAGCATAAGATATATGTGAAAAATTCAGGTGAACCCATACAAGGAAGAAAAATAAGGTGGTCCCACCATGCACATCCAGCCCTTGAAATATTTTGTTGTGCTTTCTTCTAGGTATTAAAACTGCTTTTTAGTGACGCTGACACTGTTAACTTTTGTTTTCTGTTTGCTCCCCTCAGTTGAAAGCATCAGCAGTTCCTTGTGCTGCTTTGCTTTTCAAAATCTCTTAACTGCTACACCTGGCTTCCTCCTGGGTAAAGTGTCACCTTCGGATCCTTTCACCTGCTGTAGGGGTTTAGGTCAACCCCAAGTCCAGTTACCTTCAGTAAAGAACTTTGGATGGGAAACTCCTGCTACGTTTAGCATCATTGTCCTAAGAATTATTTACAGGAATGGAATTTCTCAGCAAAAGACAGATTTTATTTTAATCTCAACTTTCTGTGCTGGAGTGTGGTAAAGAGAATTTCCCTTCGGTCGGTCTTTTAAAAGTCACTTTGCCTCTGTGGTTGAAATTGAAATGGGGATGAGGGCCTGATGAGCTGCAATCATCCACTGCTAATTGACTTTCTTGGAACCTGGGAAAACAAGGTTTAGAATTCTCAGGGGAGCCGGGGAGGCGGGGAGGATCAGAGATGGGGCAAAGACTCCAGCACAGTGTCAGAAAGATATTTCAAGGGCAGCAAAACGGCGAATGCTCCAAGTGTCAACCACAGCAACCGCATCCTGGCTCTACAGTAGGAGAGTTCCCTCAGGCCACACGCTGTGTCTTTGGGTGGGGGGTGGCCTTACCACTCATCCCCTGCTATGCCCAGAGGTACAGGACCATGAAACAGGGATCACTCACTACGGCTTCGGTGTAACTGCAGCTTCTAAACCTCTTGGCACCCTAAGCAGACCAACCTGAGGAGATGGGTGGAGCTCCCTGAATCACAGAGTCTCTGTGTTTTGGCTGTGACTTGGCAGACGAAGGCCAAGAACTTTGGCCGCATTTGTTTTTGCTTTGTTTTGTGTCACACGGTACAGTCAAAACAAGAGCCGGGCTGCAGCTGTTCTTTTAGGAGATTTATGTTCACGTCCCCTCTCCTCCATCCCTCTTCCAGGCAGGGAACAGGCCCAAGGACAGGTGTCACCGGGTGGTAGACTGAGTGGCGTGATATATAGCACAGACAATACGGAGTTTCACATTCCTCAGCTTCCCCAGATCGTCTGAGTTGACCTTTATGTCTTCACTTCCTTACCTGTGAAACCAGAAGGGCGATGCTTGCTGTGGTGGTTGGAAGACTGGATCTATAACATTCATGACAAAGCCTTCCAAGCCTTTGCTACTCCAAAGTGACGCTGTCCCTTGCTCCCTCTGTGAGGGTCTCTGTCCCCACACGTCTACCCTCCACCGCACTCCTTCCCATCATCTCCAAAGTATTTCTGGGAGTTTCAGGTTTGTCTCTTGCCTACACTTTATTCATTTACTGGGCCCTACTTTCACTGATGCTTTCTTGGGGGTGGACGTCTGTGACTGTGGGGTTCTGCCCGGCAGTGGGATCATCCTGACTCTGCCTCCCCACGCCACTCAGTTTGACTCCATCACCTGGTTCCCAAAGCACAAAGTTTCTAGGCTTCCATCAACTCCTACCACTCCAAGTTGTCCAAAACCCTCAGTTGTCCCAGCTCCCTCTTCTAATCATACCCCCAGACCCATGTTCCTCTCCGTCTTCAAAAGTAACAGGGAGAGGAAGAAGGGTGGAAGGGAGGGGAGGAGCCTGGGAAAAAAAAGAGGAATCCAAATCTATCGTATTCAAGTACAAATTCCCTATGATGAGTATGATCATTAAGCATATCTAAATTGTACCAACTGATTTAATTTAAAAAATTAAAAAGCAACCCCTCAGTTCTCAGATAGTAGCATAAGCTCTCAGATTTGTTAGTTTCCACAGATGGAGGTTTTAGTACAACAGCACCAAGTCCACCACCCAGAATCCCACAGGAAAGGACTGCCCCAGGGCCGGCTGTGGTGACAGCATGGCTCCTGCCTGCCCACTTCCCTCGGTGGGGCTCTGGGCAGCCCCAGCCTGGCCCTAGGGCCCTCCTCCTCGAAGGGACAGAAGACCTGACTAAGGGGTGACGTCTCTCCAAGATGGGAGGTCCCAAGAAGCCAATCACCATGGTGACCAACCTCATCTGTTAGCGGACTCAGGGAGTCTTAACAACCTCTAAAGGCAAGGAAAACAGCCCATTAAAACCAGGTTGGAAGTCAGACGCCTGCCTCAGGGAAATTTGCTGAAGCATGTTTGGGTGGGGGAACCTTTTGCGGAGGGGTCAGCTCTATTTTAATAAGTCAGCGACTAAATCCCCATTTTAATGACGCTTGTCCGCTCCTGTCCCAGGCAGCGAGCAACCCTCTGCCTCCTAATTTAATTGCTTTTTTCTCCTCTCAGTAGAGCTGGATTGGCTGGCATAGACCTGGGGCAGAAGTGATGTCCAAGGGCCAGGGGACCTCACCCAGCTGGACTGGGCATGGAGGGGCAGGGACAGATCTCCAGCCTCCACGGGGACAAAGCAGCCCTGGGAGTCTGCTCCAGCCTGGCCTCAGGCCCCAGACTGCCTGGAGCTGTTTTCAAATCATGAAACCTGTAAAGTGGAATTTAATGCACTTTTCAGTATTTTACTAGCATCAGAGGGGCCAGATGAAATTTACTGGGTAGATGTAAAGCTCTGTTGATAGGAAATTGAGCCGTTTTCACAGTGCTCTGCTGGGCTTTTGCTCACTGTCCTGAGTCCAGGGCTGGTTAGCAGGTTCCTCACTTCAGCCTAAGCAGCCAGGTGAGCAGAACAACTGGGTCCCAAAGAGAGCTGGCACCTGAAGGTGATGGATAGCAGCTTGGGTGGGCATGGGGCATGGGCCCTGGGCACCTACAGCTGTGCTGGACTCTCTGATTCTAACAGGATGCTGCTCTCCTGAGAGAACAGTACTGTGGGGCTCAGCAAAGAGCCTCTCCCCAGATTCTTCAGAATCTGAAGGAAAGGGGGAGAGAAGGAGAAAGAGGGAGGGAGCTGGGAGAGAGGGAAGGAAGGAGGGAGGCAGGCAGGGAGAGAGGGAGAGAGACAGAGAGCAGGAGAGAAGGAGGGAAGGAAGGGAGGGAGAGAGAAAGGAAGGAAGGAAGTGAGGGAGGAAGGAAGGGGAGTTTTAGAGCTGCCCGACTGGGTTCTGTGCTCTGGTTTTTCCCAACACAGATGTGGAGCAGGTAACATTCCTTACCAGCCAGGGGCTTCTGTCTGTCTAATCCAGTGAAACTGTGCTTCCCAAAGTGCTTCCCAAAGTGCAGAAAACCCACTAGTGTTACACAAAAATGCCTTAGGTGAGATACAGATGAATGTATTTTATTACTCATAATGTATTTTACTATAATTCAGAGAAATGCCAATTTTCTCTTCATAGCAGTGGCCAAAAACATTCACTTGAAAAAAAATTGGAACAAGAAATCAGTTCAGAGAAAGAAAAACTGACACATTATCTCATAGCAAAACGTACTAGGTGGCACTGAGCTGTATGAACTTTGGAAAATGCTACATTACAGACCCGGAGACGTCTGGGAGAAGTGAAATTGCCTTGTCTTTGTTTCATCTTTCTTTTTTGAACCCTTCTCCCCTTTGCCATGCACTGTAGCTGTAGATGATAGAATGAGTTCTCTGTGCTGGTTCATGTTTCTCTGGAGCAGACAACAAAATCTAGCTGTTGGTCCACGATTAACCTTGGTCCCCGAGATGCAGGTGGAGAAGTCTATGGTCTTCACACTCGCCCAGACGCGACCCTGCACTCTCCACCTCTGTCTGCGGGTGACTGCAGAGGGCCCAGCCCCAGCTTTGTGCTTCACCGAGCTTGCAGTTTGCTGGGTTAGAGCACCTGAGGACACCCAAGGCCAGCGATAGGCCTGTGAGAAGGAGGGAAGGCGGGGGGTGCTGGGCACTGCAGAGGAAAGGGGAGATGTCATAAAAGCCAAGACTAAAACTGAAGAGGTGAGATGAATTACCTGGGTCCCTCGGCTCTGGCCAAGGCCAGAATTTAAATACAGGACATTTAAAATGGAGATCAACTCCACCAGCATGTGGAGTCTGATTCCACTAGAGATGAGAAGACAAGGGTTAGGTAAACAGAAAAGATGAAGGCAGCCCCCTATAAACCAAGAGGGGGGAACGACTACGTCAAGTAACACCTTCCTTCTTGTTTGAAATGTGTGGAGTTCAGGGTTTTGATGAGTCTCAGGTTGAAAATCAAGTTTTAGGAAATCAAGGATCCGAAGAGAAGGCAAACCCTCCAAATAAAGGTCTGGCACTTTTGAGATGAGACTGACCAGAAAAGAGGTCCAAGTCATTCAAGGAGAGTGCAGTGCCTCAAAGGTGGGGACAGCCTGTTGTTTAAAGAGCACAGGTGGAAAGGTGGGGGAGACAAAGAAACTGGGAAGACAACAAGGGCTCCTACTGAGACCCTTCCCTGACATAAAGGCCCAGAGATGAGAATGGCAGCCGAATCAGTTCTGAAGGTGGTTCCCTCTCTGCTGCCCTTGGAGTCTGGATACACACAGGACACCCGCTTTGATCAAACAGGCTAGATGAGTCAAAGGAGGCACCTGGACGAATTGGGAAATGACTTTTTCCACTGAACTGCTCCAGTTCTTTTTTTGTTTTTTCTTCTCCTCTTCTTTCCTGAGTTGACTGTATTTCTGGCAGAAATGTCTCCATCTTATCATTTTATGGTTGCCATCCCTAAATTAGGCTTGCTTTATCAGATGAAACTGAACAGGGTAGCAATTGTTTCTGTGGACCTGAGGAGTAAGAAGGGACCTGATGTGACATTAAGCCCCAAACTGCTCGTTTTTAAAGATGAGGAAAGCTGGTAAGACTGACATATGCCGACGGTCGGTGGCAGCCCAGAGCGGAACGTCAGGCTCTCCCTTCAAACGTGACTCTCTGTCCTCCCTACCACGTATCTATTCCCATAACTTGCCCATAGCTGTGTGCATACCTGGTTTTCCAGTCTCTTGCAAATAACACATCCAAGCATTTTCCTTCTTCAAATTCTGCTTATCAGAATGTAATCTAACCTTATATGAGCCTCTGCCACCCTGGGAAAGCCCGGATCTCAGAACATCAGAAAATCTTCGCAAACCCTGGTTGGAGGTTTAGGAATAAAGATGGCTAGAAGAAAGAACATTAGAGACAATGAATACTATCTCTGATAGTGCAGTTTGATGGACAGTTTTTCATATTTACCATTTTCATAATTGCTTTAACAGTGGGCATGCTTGGTAGTGAGGCAGTAATAACTCATGAGCATATATTGTTAGAGGACGAAGCTACATTGGATTAAGTAGCACTGAACTGAACAGAAAATGGTTAAAGAAATTCATTCCGGGGCTGAGAGATTATATGTCAAGCTGTA